CGACAAGCTGATGTAAGAGTAGAAATCTATAACTTCAAGATGTTTTATGGAGAAAATCTCTATGAAGCATGAGAGAGATACAAGGACATCATCAGAAAATGTCCAAACTATGGGGTAGAAAGTTGGGGAGTGTTACAATCTTTCTATAAGGGACTTGACCATACTTCTCAGTCACATTTAGATTTTGCTGCATGAGGATATTTTTTTACAAGAACTCTTGAATCCAGGTATGACATCACAGAAGGCACTGCTGAAAGATGTCTCCAATGGCCAATAGACAGTGTGAGCCTAGTAAGGAAGCCTGGTATGCTCGAACTAGATAAACAAACTGCCATGGAAGCCCAGCTGGCATCACTCATGAATGAGGTGAAGAACCTGAAAAATGATCAAGAAACACCAAAGATGGAAGTCTTGCAACTCACAACAGCTGAAATTGAACCATGCTCAGCCTGTGGAGACCTTCATGATTCAAAAGACTGCCCATCCACTGCATTGGTGTGTTATGCAGAAAACTTTGGTAACAGGAACTTCACCCAAGCCAGGGATAATCAGCAAGCAGGACGCAATACCAATTCAAATCCTAGAGGAACTATCACAAAAGATCATAACCATAATCCCCTATGGAGGCCACCCACGAACCACAGACCATTCACCACTCAGCAGCAGTACCAGCAAGGTAGCAGCAGTGGAACGTTTGAACAACAAAGAAAAAACAATTACGTTTCGTTCCACAGAGATTACCAACGTATCAATACCTTGGAAAACTATGTCAAAGAATATATCACCAGGAATGATACAGTTGTCAGGAACATTGAGTCTCATCTGGGCCAAATTGCTGCCAATCTCCAAACAAGAGTACCAGGATCACTACCAGGGGACACTGAAGTTCCCTCAACCACTTCTGAATCCACCTGAGAGGTAAGTACCATGTCTAGCTAAAGACATTAAACTAAGCGCTGACTGGGAGGCAACCCAGTGAATTCATTTGCTCTCTGACAAAGAGCAAAGTTTTGGGGTGGTTAACCTTAACCACATAGCTCCCAAAAGGAGGGCACGTCTGATGTTCCATTCCAAAGTCCAAATAACATACGTTCCGTTCCAGGAACATAGTTTTGGGGTGGTCCCTGACCACACAATCCCAATCTTCTTTAAAAAAAAAATTATGTATATTTTGCAAATTGTTATAAACAGTAGTAAATAAGTAATTAGTAATGCTTTACGTTCCCTTTCCCTTCATTAGATTAGATTTACATTTAATTAATCAGCATTTTCTTTACTTTTTCTTTTAATAATAGTTAGTAAATAATAATTAGGATTTTTATTAAGAAAAGACAAAGGGAATGTTCCCTGGGTTAGAAGATAAGAATGACTGGGACACCTGTCCCTGCTGAGTCACTCAAAAAGATACGCAGCCATATCAAATTTGCACTTATTTCAAATCTTGAAAACGTGCTCAAAAAAAGCAACCGTCTCCTCAACCATTAATGCAATTGCACCATTTCCTTTTTTCTCTCTCTCTCCCACGTCCTAACCTAAATCGTTCCATCCGCTTACATCCATCATCATCAGTATACCACTCACTACTGACCACTCATTCTGTAACGTCCTCATTCCACCACCTTTCCCACTCCCTTTCCTCAACCTCCACGTCCCACAAGCATTTCCATTTCCCCTCTTCTAAGTTGTCTATTTAAACTCAGCCTTTCCTTCCTTCGAGTTTTACTACTCCCCATTAACTCAGAAAACTTTTCCCTTCTTCTGCATTATGCCTTAACCTTTTTTTTGTCAAAAATGACCAAGCTATCAGTGAAAGTGACTCTTGTGGCCAGCCGTGGCCAAGAGCCAGAGCTCACTGAACCCATCATCCATCTATACCCAGAAAGAAACATATCCTTGCAGCAAGAAAAACTTGTCCTGCCTCCTTTCGTGAAGAAGGCTCTGACCAGCCTTAAGTGGCTTCGTTTTGCCACTGATGACCGTGAGATGAATGTCTCAATGGTGGGTGAGTTCCTGTATCAAACCAGGAGACTTCCTGAAGATGATGCCACTGATATGGTCACAGTGAGGGGAAAGCAAGTGTCGTTCTCCCCCGCTGCTATCAAGGAAGTACTCTACCTTCCTATTGTCTCCAAATGTCCATACCAGGAGTACATAGACAGTAAAGAAGTTGCCAAATTTCTGGGGAGCGTGAAGGAGACAATAGCCATCAGGAACCCCACCTACACCAAAGGATCCCTCTGCAAAGGAAGCATGAGGGATGAAGCCCGATTCTGGGCTTTATTTGCCAATTCTAACATCACTCCCTCCACTCATGAGGCCACTGCCAGTTGGGCCCTCCAAATCCAAATCTACTGCATCATGAAGAACACTCCTTTTGATGCAGTACCCCTCATTTATAATAGCTTGAAGAGGGAGATGAGAAAGATCACAGTTTGCCTCCCCTGTCTCATAACCAAGCTCTGCCTGAAAGCTGGTGTGGAGGCCCACCAGGATGACATAACAAAGGTAGCATCTATCATCGATGCTAAGACCTGGAATGGTCTTAGGAGCACCTACATTGATACAACCCAACCCATTCCTGAAGACCTCAGACGCACTGTCACCAGTGATGATGAGGAGGAAGCTCCTGTGGTCCCTCAGAAGAAAACCACAAAGGCCACTCCTTCAAAATCCTCCACTTCTGCCCACGTTCTGGCAACAAGAACTGTTCCCCCTCCCACCAAGGTGAAAAAGGATGCCCCTGTTGCTACTGAAAGCAAACAAGGCAAAAAAAATCCCCTGCCAAAGCTCCCCCAAGAAAGGGGAAACATTCAAGTCAAAGGCTGAAGAGAACCTTCAGCAGCACCAAGAAGACAGAGGGAGCATCCTCTGAGAAACCCATCACCCTCTCTGACAAAGAGGAAGAGAGAGATGAAAATGAGCCTTTGGCAAAAAGGATGAAGGCTGGCAGAACGTCAGTACCCAAACTAGCTGCTAAGGAGACGTCCCGAAGCAGCTCTGCCTCTACATTCTTTGACGTTTCGTCCCCACCACCTGCTCACTCTCCACCAACACCTATCACACCATTGAAAGAATTGTCATTTCATTTGTTTTTCGTTTTCTTGAAAATATTACTAACAAGTAGTATTTAAGTTCGTAACTAATAATAATATGTATATTTATAAACTTTATGTAAAACATATATTATTTTATATTAAAAAACCTGATTTTAAGACTACTCCTTATATATAAAAAAGGATAATGAATGGGATATAATACATTTATCTTATTTTATTTTTTGGTATATCGACCCTAATTATTTCTTTGAGGCGAGTCGGCCCCTTAGGTATTCTCACAAGTTTCAACTCTTTGAGTCGGCTATGAGACTAATCTCGAGTCAGGGCTTAATCATAGTTAAAGCTCTTTATAGGGGTGGGCATGGGTCGAATTGAACTGAATTTTTTTAAGAACTGAACCAAACTGGTTCAAAGAACAAAATTTTTGTTTTTATCTCAAATCAGTTCGGTTCGGTTCAAAAATGGTTCAATTCGGTTTGAAAATGCTTCGGAATCAGTTTGGGTTGAAACCTTGAACCTATTCTAAACTAGAAGTTAGTAAATAAATAAATAAATAAATAAAAGAAGAGAAGAGAATTAGATAGGGAAAAAGAAGAGAGAAAAAATTGCTTAGGTTCAGTAATTGATTTTTAACATTAGTTTTTTCAAGTTTAGTGTTATTTTGCGGGTTTTTTGCACACTCCTAAAACTGGTTTTTGAACCAGTTCTGAATCCAAATGACAAGTATGAAAATATTGAGGAAGAAATATAAATGTTACTACAAATTTGAAAAAAAAAGCAATAAATAATTAAAAAATAAATTAAAGTAAAAATAAGAGAGAAATACATAAGAAAAAATAAAAATAAAAATAAAAATTAAAGAAATAAAAATAAAGATAAAAGAACAAACAAAATAAATAAGGAAGAAAAATAAAAAAATAAGAAAAAAATAAATTTAGTTCATATTTTATTTTAATTTTAATTTTTTATTGTATACATAGTTCATATTTTTTTTAAACTAGTTGAGTTCATGAACTGATTTTTTAAATTTTTTTTTAAATGCAGTTCAGTTCATAATTCAGTTCAGTTTTTTGGTTCTTTTGCACATCCTATTCCTTCTCTCTCAAAAAATATATTTGGTGATAATCAAACTCAGATTCTCAATTTTTTGATTCTTTTGCACATCCTACTTCTTCTCTCTCAAAAAATGTATTTGGTAATAATCAAACTCAGATTCTCTCCCTATTCTACTTAACTTATATTGCCAACTGACTTACATACATTGGATTATAATACATTTATTTTACTTAGCCCATGTAAGGCCGTAAAGTCTTGAAAGAGTTGTCATCTTGTATTTTGAAAATAAAATAAAATAATAATGAATAGTTTTTTTTTTTAACAATAATGAATAGTTTTTAAGTTCACAACATATTCTCTCAATATATATTGTTGGTACAAACATACTCATAAACTTTAATTCCAGCTTATAAGCATGTATGAAACTTAAAAAAAATATACTAAGCACGGAATTTTCAATTTACCTGTTTAAAAGTTAATTTTTTTTTTGCTTTTGTAAAATTTAGAGAGTAAAATATATTTAACAAATTTTAATTTAATGTTTAGTATTTGATAGGTTAGAATCAATGGTAGCTCATGAGTTCTGAGGACCCATTCAACGAGTGGGCTTAACCCTAACTATTGTGACCCAATTTTCAGTGTGCTTGCGAATTGCAATTAATCACAGCCGTCCGATTAAGATCACAAGTCAGCGAGCCCCGTTGAGTGGTCCCGTCCTATAAATATAAAGAGGGAGCTTCATTAGCAAACCCTGTAAAACCCTAGTTCGCAATTGCCGTTCCTCGCTTATTCACCCTCTTCTTTTTATTCGTTCAATGATTAGTGGTTTGGCTTAATCATTCGTTTCTTGTCTTGATTTTAGTTTTTTCAATTTAATTAGCCAAATGATGAATCTTTCAAATTGTTGAGAACTCAAACTTTGATTTGAGTGCAATGAATATTTTCATTGAATAGGAAGATCTGATGCTGCATATTGACATCATTGTTGCAACTTTTTATTTTTTATTTTATATGTTTATGTTATAGCATCGTGGATCTGGAATCCAATATATGGTTTCTTCGAGGTTCTTCTTTTTTACTCTGTTTGTTAGCAAATTTTTTAATTCAGGTTTTGTTCCAAACTTTATAGTTAATTTAATACTGTGGCCAATGATGATGAAATTGCATTTGGCTGAAATGCAAGTTCTTGCATTTCTCTGTTGAGAATTTTTGAACTAGGACGGTCTGAGGCTACTGAAACTGATTTAGAACATTGCGTTCTTTCTTCTTTTTGGGCATATGTTAATGTTGTTCTGTCTGAACTCTGAACTGAACAGTGTTGTGGATGATGAGAAACAACAATTTTACAGTTATCCCTGGCTGATGTAGCAGGTGCTGAGAATTTATAAACTGACACGCACTGTTTGGTTGCATACAAACTATTGGGTGCTCGGGCGAATTGGCTTATTTCTTTGTGACTGTGCTCTTAATGTTTGTTGTGGGTGTCTTTTTTTTTTTTTATAATAGTTTTACTTGACCAATTATCCTTTAGACTATGTTTGAAGGGATAAGTTATTTTACTTATATTTTATTTTTTTTATATTTATTTTATCTATTACTCTTCAATATCATTGGAGTAGAATCTTAAATGGTGATAGAAATGATGAGTCTAGCAGTATTAGAGAGTAATAAGTAAGATAAGCATAAAAAAAAAATCTATTCCGTCGTGAAATTTGGTAGACGTGAGCAAAATGTTTTGTAGATAATTGTATTAATGTATTTATTTTTAAGAGAAACTTATAATCATTTTAATAGAGAGCTTTTCTTTTGAAGACAAAATAAACTAAATTAAAGAATTTTTCCGTATGACATTTTCAATATTTAGCAGGTATTGTCGGTAATGATTAGTTTATAATCGAAGTTCTTGAAATCTTAAGATTGGTGGTCGAGATGGACAATCTAATTAATATTGAGCTAACATGCTAACTGCAGGACCAAGATGCTGATTTGGGCGAGTACTGTTGGTCGTAATGGTTTGATACAGTTTATTACCATTCAAGCTTAATTCCAAAATCAAGCTAGATTTAATGATAAGGGATTTGAGAAACTTATATTAGGTTACGTGTTTAATTCTCTTCATTATATTGAAAAAAAAAGTTCAATTCCAAAATCAGTTTAATACACTGGTTTTGAAATCTAATATATATTAATTTATCAAGTTTTATTAAAAAAGTATACCTCTTTGAATTTTTAGAACTGTGTCAAGGAAAAGAGACGGATTATTTTGAAGAGCAGAGACTAAAGTTTATATTTTCTTGTATTTTGGAATTTCATCCTAGCGAACTAAAGTTCAACATTACTTCGAAAACTAAATTTCAGTGGATTTATAGTTTCTGCCAGCCTTGACCCACACTCATGTTACAATGATTGTGTGCTTTAACTTCACCTATGCAACATGATTTCATTTTAATTTTTAATTGTGAAAGAGAGCGTACGTTTAAGCTTATCCAATCATTAGTTCATTACCCTAGCTTCCAATCAGCCAAGATTATATACTGTCAACAATAATACGTTCCCCTCAGTCGTAAAACATTATAATAGGCAATCGTGGCGTCTTGGCTCTTGCACCCATCAATGAGTATTAGATTTGGTCACAAGACACCAACGTTGAAATAGTAAACTTAAAATAGTAGCTCAATTGACACGAGAGCTAAACAGGTGAGGATGCGAACTTATGTTCAAATCTCTCCAGTATCACATTTGAGAGGGATTTAAAGCCTTAATTTTGAACCTGTCTCAATCGAATTAATAGCGAAACAATGAAACGATTGAAATATTTAAAAAAAATAAAATTAGTAAACTTAAAAGAAGAAAATTTACACATTATGTCAATTCTACATATAAATTCAGATAGTTCAGCTCATAGCAAGGAAACGCGGATAAAGAAGATACAAGGCTCTAAATTATTTGGGTTTAACGACTAGATACATTAAGTAATTATTTAAAAGCTATTTATCCATCATGTACATCTCAATGATCTACTTTATTGTGATATATCGATTTGTACCGTGTTTAGCCCAATGGTCTTTAAGGTCAACTGGGTTTGACAGATCATATCCTTCTGCTGCAAGCCGGCTAAGCAGCTTATTGAAAGCGCTTCCACTCATTTTTCTACCACCTACCCGAGCATGCCTCTTGTTGGGCACTGCTGGAAGTGGATACTCTGATAGGGTGTTTGTGCAACAAGCAGATTGCCAACCTCCATTACCCCATTTGTAGCACTGCCTCAGAACACCAGTACAAGAGCACCCTGGTGTTGACATGGTTGACTCATCATATGCAACTTGGTTCAATGCTAAGTCCTGAGATTTCCAATCAGCCTTTGACACTACTAACTGCTTGTTAAGATTATCACCTCCATTCATGATTTCCTGACTACTCTTCCACTCATGCATCTTGCCATTGGCAAACATCATCTTGTTCAAATCTTCATTGTCCCTCTTGACCTTTCTTGTAGTTTTTGGAGTCTTCTTATTAGGTGTCACTGACTTACCTTCCTTCGGTCGTTTGGCCCGTCGAGGCTTACCAGCCTCTGAAGTAATGGGAACTGCTGGGAGGGCATCACTTGTGTGCATTTCCCTTGTGCTGTAAGAAGCATCACCCATGTTAGGTAAGTGGTGTACCTGTTGCTGCGGATGATGCATGTGCTTGACTCCCCGTGAGATTTGGCATCCTGGAGGGCATGATGACATACTACCGTTGGTTAAGGTGTTTTCTCGAAACTGAAGGGTTGCAATTGCATTATCCCGCTCCATTAATGCATTATTTCTTTCCGCAATTGCAGTATCTCGTTGCAGGAATGCCATGTCACGTTCTGCAAATGCTGCTTTTTTCTCAGAAAGGGCCAGATTTCTTTCTTGAATGGCTGCATCCCTTTCAGCCATAATAGCCATAATCTGCTTCATGGAAGGCTGATGTTGCATCAACCACTGCAATAGCAATTGAGACCAATATTATTACAGAAAGCACCTACTTTTAGCAATTATTTGTTCATGCAAACTTAAATTGTAATGAATTTGTGGATAAGCAAAGTGGTGTTTCTACATACCTGTCCCTGAGCAGATTTATATTGGTCGGCTTTGTGCCTTCCATTTTCACGATGCCCAGCATCATCCATCAGAGCTCACAAATGATAGTAAAAGCTAAATATTGACTATAGGCCTCCTCAGCCAGTATCGAACTTGGTTAATCAAGCAATAGTTTGCTATAAGTACTGCATATCAATTAAGGAACTATTCATATTTTATATTGACATAATTAGTGCATCTCTTTTCTCCTCCATTTTTCTTGAGGCATGGAGGGTAGTGTAGGAAGAAATTCTTCTATTAACAACTCTAACAAGAATATATGCAGCAAAAATTAAAATACATACCATGATTATGCATAGGGACTATGCACCCAGCGACTGAACCAACTCCTGATCAAAATTATTCCTACAAAAGAATATGACATGAGTATCACAACAATGAAACACAATGTTTCCAACTTACAAACAATACTAAAGACACATTTGAACACTCAAATATTACTGATATCATCTAAAAAATCAATTCAACCCAAAAACTTAAGCTTGTGAGCGGTTTTATATTATATCTCCCTAACATAAAAAAGTATTTGCAATAAAAGAAATCATGTAATAAAGAGAGAACCACTGAATCTGTGGGGAAACACCAGCAGTTTCAGAAGTGGAGGCATTTTACTAATAATTATCATCAAGAACACTTCCATTGAAGCAAAAAGAGTGCAAAAATTCCAGAAATCTTAAGAAAATAACAGCATACATTCATAGGAAGCTATATATATGCACAGCAGTAGTGTATTAGTGCAGCAGTTACTAGGGCAACAATAACAGAGAAACATAAAGCTAAAATAATAAAAGGAGAGAAAAAAAGATAAAGCATGAAAGCAAATTAGAAAAGAAGGCCAAAAGAGATGGGTGAGGTGATCCTTGTTTGATTCTAACATGTTTAAGTGCTTAACACAAAATGCCTCGAAATACATTACAAAAACAAGGAGAATAAACAACAATACCACTGAGGTGCTTATCAGAGGCACTTACAACTACCTGGTACATAACACTCAGTTACCAGACTTCATCTATTGACAGGGAAGAGGGTTTCAACTTTCAATTTTCAAGTACATTGTTTTATACCTTATGATCAGTTGTCATCTAAGGTCAATGAGTGTACTACCTTAACTGTCAGTCAATGACAGTTGACCTAGTGCTGGCAATTTCAACATGTAATTAGAAAATTTAACAAGCTTCATCTCATATGAATCAGGCAATGACTCCATACAGAAGAACTAAATCGTTAATAATCCAATGGGTACAAGAAAAATGAATGAATTAAAAATGCCAAACACTGTAAACAACCACAGGAAACAACCTGACAAGTACTGGTTCTGGAATTTAAAGCCATGGAAATAGACAAAAGCCGATTATAACTGAAGAAAAAATAAAAATAAAGAAAGGATGCAAAGGGAAGAAAAAGTAATTAAGGTTTGGCATCTCGCTCATCAACTCAAAAAGGAAATTTGAAAAAAAAGCAACAAAAGCTTAGGCTATAAAATGAAGGGAAAAGATAATTGAACATATAAAGCAAAATTGGTGGTTACTTTCCTAAATCTTACCGTTTAGGAAGGTCAACGTATCGAATTCAAAGCGAAAACGCATTAATAGTGTTTTGTCATTTTGACAATACTCAAAACAGAACCCCCGAATATCTAGCACAGTTAAAAGCCAAAATTTGAAATCAACATGAGATTCTGAAACGTGGCATCGGAACCAAAAGCCGAAATGCATAAACTTAATCCAGAAAAATAAAAATAAAAAAATTATGCAATTTACACAATGATTAGAGTAAATGGAAATCGCAACATCATACGCAAAAGCTGAAGTTGCCCAGAAAACATAATAATCAAAATCCAAGAAAAAAGAAGCAAAATAGATAAAGAGGGGATAATCAGAGTGGAAAAATTACTGATAGAGTGAGATGGAGACACAAATTGAAAACCCTAATCTTCTCAGCAGAAAAGGAAATAATGTATTTGGTTTGGGTTTGTGTGTGTCTGTGTTTATGCCTATGCCGTTTTCTTGTCTCGTTTCCCACGTGATTTTTTTTATTTTTTATTTTTTATTTTTGTTGGTAAACTGAACAGTGACTTTTCTTTGTAAATCAAATTATCGATAAATCTTGGATAGCCAGAAACTGGTTTTTGTTACTTCTACCAAACATAGTAATTGATGTTTACCAAAGAAGATTTACCAACAATCTTTTTGATACCCTTATATTTATTCGAAAATCTCGATTTTCAAAAATAGGATAAAAATATTTATTTTTCGATAATATTCGAAAATTAAAAATTTAGAAAAATTTAATTTTGCCGAAAATCTTTAAAAAAGTCACGTAGCAAAGTGCCCCTAAATAGGATCGCACATCGAGATTCGTGGTGCATAAATTTTTTCCACTTTTTTATAATTTTATTTTATTTTTCCCTCTACTGAATTTTATGCTGAGAGTTTATAAAAAAAGGAATTCTGATAAAGAGTTTGACGAAACTGGCCTGGTGTGAAAGAATGGAAAAACAGTAATATGTGGATTGGAAACAAAGAAAATATGAAAAAAAGAAGAAGGGGTTCGTGGGGTTTCTTATTGGTGAGTGTTGAGTTGGCTGAACTGAACCATCAACTAATTAAATGCTTTTAATTACAAGAAAAATGTGAGATATTTATTGAGCAACCTTGTCCGAGGACCACGGCCACGGGGCCAAAGGATCGCGGATTAGAACACTGTTTTGTCTCCATTTTATATGAAATTTTTGTCCCTTTTTTTTTTGGCACATGGAGCAAAGAAGATTATATATTATTTGGTGTATCACTTTTTGTTTTGTTCGTTTTCTTGTCATCTTATTGATAATGTATTAATATTAATTAGTGGTGGAGCGAGACTGGAACTAGATAGTCTGTTCACTTTTCAAAATTAATTATTAATATTATTCGTATAGTGATTCAACAATCATATTAAACACCATTCATTATGTTGTCATAAAAATTATTTTTTATATTTTCCCTTAATTATGTTAAAACATAGTGTTATTTGAATTAATTTAAAATATTTAAGAATATTAATTATATTAAAAATAAAAGAAATAAACTCGTATAAAATAGACTGAAATACAATAAAGTTAATTTATTTTCAAATTGTTATGGACCACTTAAGCTATTTTCACTTCTTATCAGTGTTATTAAACCCGGACCGACCCGACCGGGTGGACTCGGAAACCGGCGAATCGGTCATATAACCGGTCTGGTTGATGTAACGGACTGGCCATGCATCAGAACCGGTGTGACTCGATCTGACCCGGCCGATTTTCATGAAAACCGGTAATCCGGTCGGTTAACCTGTGACCCGGTCCGGTTTAAAAAAAAATCAAATTATTTATTTTTTCAAAAATAAATAAATCATAATAGACATATTTGAATATTCTTTTTCTTATTGACTTACATAAGTTATGTATTTACAACACTAATATTATCTCAATTATGCACTATTCATAAAAATTTGATTTGTTTTATAATTAGAGATGTCGTTTTCTGAACCTAAAGTCCCGTATCACGATCATTATATTTTTGTTTGATCCTTTATTGGATAATAATGTGATTTATTATTTTTTATATTAAAATATTTGAAATTTTTATCATTTTTTTTAGATATTTGAGTATGCTTATAATTTTTTAATATAAATCATAAAAATACATATATTTACCGGGTCATGCGGTTGAACCAGTGACCCACTGGTTGAACCAGTGACCCACTGACCCAGTACCTCGACCGAGTCAATGACCGGCCCGGTTTTAATAACATTGCTTCTTATTCCAATTATATAGAGCATCTCACTCCATCACTCTCCCCTAACTTTCATCCACCACAAATAACCACCCACTAGGTATTGCATGATGGAAATGGATCCTTTCGTGTGGGAAGATCTTAACCATTAATAATTAAATCATCGGTGATGATTGTGTAACTTTCTATCCTTATATTTTTTTTTTCCTCTCCTCCTTTATTACCAATAACTCACCCCATGTATGGTTATAATTGTCTCCCATGACATGATCATGTTAATTAGCACATGAGAGGTTCCACTCCCGAAAATTTAAATAAAAATATATTTAAACATATAAAAATAATTTTATTTTCTAAATCAATCTCGAATGAATTTGATGCCTATCTAAATATGAATATATAATAAATAAATAAGATAAAAATAATATAAATATGATTTAAAAATCAGATACAAAATAAATTTAAATATGATAAAAAAAATTATTTTCTTGTCAATCTCAAATAGATTTAATGTCCATTTAATTATTAATATCAATATATAATAAAATAAAATAAATTTATTTCATAGTCAATCTAAATGATTTGACTATTTTATTTATATTATATTACATTGTAATTTTATAATTTATATTATTTATAAAATTTAAAATACATGAAATTTTGCCCTAAACAATGGCTTTGACGTTATTATTAAGAGATAAGATAATATGTTAACATTTTTTCATTCCCACTTTATCTACTCATTTTTAATATTTTACATAATTATCTCAAAAGTAGTTGAGATTCTAGTTAAACGAAGTGGAAGGAAAATAGGTAGAGTAGGGATTGAAAAAAGATAGCCATAATATTTTATCCCTATTATTAATTAAGTTAAAACACTAGCACGTATTTTTTTTCTTTCTTAAATAACTAATAACATGCTTATTTGCATGAACAGAAGAACTAGTTCTTTTTATCAGAGCTTGTCTGAAACGTAAGGGCATGTGTTCGAACCTTCTCAGTATCACTTTTGGAAGGAGTTTAAAGCCTTAATCCTGGACCCGCCCCGAATCGGACTAGTCGCGAAGCGATGAACCGATGGAATATTTCCAAAAAAAAAAAACCAGAAGATCTAGTTCTTTTTATGAAACTGAATGCTTCTTTTATAATTATTTCTTGTTTAAATTTAAGAGTTTATGCTATTGAACGCTAAAAACTTACTACATCAATTTATTATTATAATTGTTAACTAGTATATTACCTGTGCGATGCACAGGGAAAAAAATCAAAATTTTTGTCGTCCGTCGTGGTTGGTTAATCGCACTGCAAACCTTATATTTACAAAAAATTGTGTTGTTATTTTGTTCTATATTTAAGGTGAAAAAAATTACAGCATTGACATAGAGCTTTGCAAATATCAACAACAAACAAAAATCTGCTATTCAGATGGATAAATAATTTTGCATACAACTACATCATAATACACCATAATACGTTATAATACACCATGTTAACATGAGAAATGAATATAAAAAGAAAAATGCGTACAAATCATTGCTAACTATAACATTCATCAACAAAATCAAGGTAACAATAACACCAAGCAAATATGGATTTAAAATATCAGCTTTTACCTATAATATGGAAATGCTATTCATTTAGTGTCATTTCATAGCAATCATTGGAGAGATGAGTTCAACACTTACTAAATATGTCATTTCTTTTCACCAAAAAAAAAAAATGTCATTTCTTGTGTGATTTTCGTTCCTTGTGCCTACGATACAGAAGGAAAAAACTCATTAAATAAATAACACTAATATGTTAACACACAAAAGTCATAGTATCAGCAAAAAAAAAAGAATGGATTAAATTTTTTTAAGGACCAAAAAAAAATTTTTTGAACGGGATTTGAATGCAACTTAATCAAATAAGTATGTATAAGTCATATTTTTTGCTAAAGTATAAGTTCGAGCTTATTAAAAAGATTGTTCAGAAATCAAGTCACAAACCTATTTAAACAAGTTTGATCTCTAAGCCTTCAAATTGACTCGTATTTTTTATTTAAAAAAAGTAATTTTATTATTTTTTAATAAAATAATATCTTTTATTTTTCAATAAAATAATATCTTTTTTTCATGTAAAACAATCATATAAGTTTCCTCTTTTAATTTAATTTGATTGAGAAATCTAACATTCTTTTCGGATTTTCTTTCAATTAAGTCAAATATGTATGATTTGAGAAATTTTTTTAACTTTTTTAACATATGTCCTGCGAAAATAATTCATGTAGAACGGATTTGATTAAGATATCTAATATTTTTTTCGATTTTTCTTTTAATTAGGTCAAAGATATGTATGATTTGAGAAAAATTCATTGAATGGTCTCCCTCCCATTCTATAAAAGACGCAATACACCATATCTCCAATGCATTACCACGCTCTCCACCAACTCCATGGAATGTTTAACCCCCCACATGCTAAAGTCAATAGATGAAGAAAATAGAAAGATCAACGAGAAGAATGATAGAGGAACAAACGTACAAGGTAAGTTTAAACATGCTTTCTTATTATTTGGGTTTATGAAAGGACACAAAGAGAGTCATCATGTTACACATGATAAAAAATATAAAGAGGAGCACAAGAAGAAGCACAAGGGTCAGGGTAAAGCCATCCATGCACTAAAGAAATACTTGTGTCTGATGGAAAAAAAGGAAATTCGAGTCCAAGGACATGTTTCTTCTTCTTCTTCTAACTCAGTGAATAAGAAAAGACAACATTCACCATTAACATCACTTTGGACGACGAGTCCTCTGCGTGAAACCACTCCTCCTCTTCCTTCCAGAGCCGATGCCAGGGTAAAGTTGCACGAAGGCGCTGAAGTTGCAATTGCTCAATGCTCTAATTGTACTATAAGAGAAGAAGAGTGCGAACGGCAGGGATTTTCTTTTGTTTCTTTTACTTTTTCTTGAATTATTTCTTTTCATTTAGAGGAATTAATGACATTTTTAATTATAAGTTGTCTATTTATATTTTATGTTGAAATTATTTAGATATGCATTTTATAATATGAAGCAATGAATAATAGATATTTTGACAAAAACAAATAG